TGTTTGTTAAGTTGCATATAAATGTGGTTGTGGAAGTCTAATGTGATGGTGGCATTGTTATACGCCATTACTTTAACATTATAGTTTCCCTTTTTACCATTGCCTCTGGATTATTTATATGGTTTATATAACCGAATAATTTGTTTAAATTGACTTGGTTAAAGTCCTCCCTTCCTTTTTTTTGAAAATACCAGTTCCTCTTCCATTTCCTTTTTCAGTTTTTTGCTTTCACCTTTTTTACTTCTAATTTTTTTCCTTATTATTTTATCATGATGTTTGCCTCATTTTCCAACTTAATTTTTTCCAACCTTTCTCTCATGCTTCTTTTTATTGCCAATGAAGTTCATTAATTGATTTCAGATTTTCTATCTTTACTCACCTACAATTCCTTTTTCTCTTGTTTTATTGCTGTTTTCTTTCACTTTTTCTCTCCTAGTACTTTTTTGTTCCTTTCTGTGTGGCTTATAAATCCTGAGTTTTATTCGAATTGGAAATCACCAAACCTTTTTAAATGGTAAATTACGTTAGTAATTTCCGCTTTCTGCTACTTTTTTACCCCACTAAAGCATCTCCTTTCAGCACATGCCTGCCCTTCTTCATTCCTTTTGTATGCTTCTCAATCCACGTCAAATTTTTTCATGACTGGACTTCCTCTTCTGACATCGTAACAACTTTGCCCTAAGGTCCCGAAACAATCACTAAAGTCGACGAATTTCATGTAAGTAATAGGTTACTTCCGCGATATTTAGCAAGTGAAGCCACTCAGTCAACCACTACTCGAACAGCCACGCCGCTGAGCCAAATTCCAAGCTCTCCAACTCCGTCAGAAGGTAAGCTGCACCTCTGTGCATTATGAGGAGAGACTTCACCGGCTATATTTCCACAAATATTAAGGGCATATACATAGGACTACCTCCATTCTCTTGTATTTGGCTCTACAAATTACATTTGTAGTTAGATTTATGCAAAGCAGCCTCGATGGCATCCAAGATTTTTCCCAACATTGATTGTGCATTTTTAATTATTTTCTTTTAATCAAATGTTTTTCTATGGTTACTGGATGCAGAAAATTTCACTGGGTGGAGTATTACCAATTCTAAGATTTGAGCTATAACCACCCTTTGAGAAGAACATCCATTCATTTCTAACGCTTTTAGCCCTGGAAAGCACCCATTCAACCGCCGTCCAAACAACCGCTACATCGGGCCAAACTCGCAGCCGATCAGCGCCATCAAATGGTAAATGAAGCCTATTTAGGGAAGTTTTTTCAGCGGAGGTTTTCAATGTCATCAACTATGCAATGACCTATCCATTTTCAAAAGTTGGACAAGTCGTTAAAAAGCGCCTTTGCGCCATTTTGTCACATGGCAAATCCTACTTCGATGATGCGTCCAGGATCAGGAGTTTTATGGGCTGAATAAATATTCACTGCCTTTATGTGGACTGGAAACCATAGTGACGAGGACCTTCACTGACAGATGTACATCCATCTTTAAAATATCACATGATGTTCCAAACACTGTCGCCTTGACTAAACCAGTTCGGTCTGTCGCCGATTACTGTTACACATCCTTGCCACGGTAGTATTCGCATTTTCATAAAGTTAAGAGACCCATTTTGATTTGAGTGAAGTTGTCAGTGGACGACATCCATCCTCGGGATGACTGCTATGCGTATGACCTTCGATTGCTTGGTGTATGTGGAACCAGCATCGTATATTCCTTTTTGCGATAATAAATGTAGTTCAGTCCTTCTTTATCAATACTCCAGTTTAAAAGGCAATCTCAAACTCATATAGTTTATTTTAAGGAGGAAACTGGAAGTAAGGTCCTCAGCATGGCTACAGCAAAAGAACTCTAGGGAGAGGAATCGCAAAAGCAAACATATTTTTGTAGCAGAACGACAACTTGCCGACGCAGGTGCACAAGCCCTCAACTTGATGGTATAAAGTAATATATTATCACCACATTTAATGACCCACTGCTCGTTTTTGACTAACACCAAGGATGCATAATCGGTATTAATTGTTGAATATTGTGATCGGCATTTTAGCAATTGATTTCGCAAAAGTGCCCATGGTGGTTGGCGGAGTGATAAACACTGGAGAAATTAGCGGAGGCCTCGATCTGCAAGCAGACATTGAGGGGGATCTTGGCTTTAGGAGTCGCGGCGTACTCGGTGGACTAATAAACACTGGTTTTATTGGTGGCGGCGTCAATGTGAGGTCCTCCGTTGAGGGAGGGGGTGGAACTGGAGGCGGAAGGAATAGTACCGGTGGTACAGGTAGGTTGAAAGACAAACTCCTATTTACCTCCGTTAACTCGTCATTCCATTCACTTAGATGCATTTGTTAAATACCATCAAGTGCGTCCTGCTGAGGTTGATCTTCTATTTTAGGATTTAAGGTACTCGGTCCCATAGCAATTGCGATTGTTTCTGTCATCGCGATTGCTTTAATAATTATGTGCATAATCATATTTTGGATTCGGAATACGAGATGCTCACGAAGGTATGTGCATTTGAAGTAGTCATTATCTGACAAATGTGTTTAGACGTGGAGGGAGTTTGTGCTTACAGGTCTTCTTTTGAACTGCTCAATGTGTGAAGACTTGAATAGCTTCATGTCTCAAATTCGACGGTCACAGCAACGACAGTGTTTCTGATACGGAAGAGAAATCTAGACATAAAACAAGCACTTTCTGGACATACCACAGTGAGTAGTAAACATGTATTCCAGAGGAAAAGGTTCGCCGTTCTTAGCGAAAAATTCTTGTAAGCACTCTGTATCATAATCAGTGTATAATAAATAGCCTTATATACTGCTTTCATTTTCCTATAAGAGTGATGAGCTGGAAGCAGTTCTAATAAGATTTGGTTTTTTGGAGAATAAATATTACTGATTTGCAGAGGGGAGTCGAAACTGTATATCATGGCCTGAGTGTCAAGCCAAGATATGGAAGTGTAATCTGAGAGGAATGGACCCTCCCAGTCATTTAAGCAAACTGTTAAGTCATTTCAAGCATCATATTTAAAGCAGTTAGTTTAATAAACCAAGAAGAAGTGCTAAGATGATTTAAGAAGAAGATCACATGTTGATTGATGAAGTAGTTCTGGTTAAATATTCCGCGCTTGTATGATGCACGGATCTCCATAAGTGAATGTCTGATAAATTACTCAAATCCACCCTAACTCAAAGCTAAACAGTTTGGAAGGATTTTTTTATTTTAGAATTTTATTCCAAAGTCTGTGCCTGATAACTCGACCATTTTCCTTCTGATATTTCCACTTAAAACCATTTATAGTCGATATATCCATTAACAGATCTTTATTTAGCTACTTCATAAGCAATCCTTTTTAAACAAGCATGCAATTGACCTTAAATATCTACAAGACATCTGCATCTTTAAATAATTGTTTGTTCAAACAAACCACAAAGGACCTTTTTGAACAGTACTTGTTGACCCAATGAGGTTGTAGGTTGCTTTCTCTTGGTAAACATACTGTTACCCATACAGTACGAGCATGATGTGTGTGTGACAGAATCACTTGCATTCTTTCAGTTTTGGACCCTTTAGTCATGAAGATATTCAACGAAAAGACTGTTGTTAATTTTGCATTCCCCAAAGCACCCGAAAAAGAAGGATATCTTCTTAAGAAGCGGTCCGAAGCAAAACGATCCTTTAATCGACGATATTTTGTTCTTCATGGGAATATTCTTGTTTACAGCGAGAGCAAATTTGGCAAGGAACCACTTGGTGTCATATTTTTGGAAGGTCATTCCGTCGAACTCGTCGATGAACGGATGTTTGCCATACATTTTCACACTTCCGCTTACACAGGTCGAAGCTATATCCTTCAGGCCGAATCGGAGGCAGAAGCCGAAGTTAGGAATAAGTATTTTTCTTTGCTTTTTAGGAGGTTTGCTTTATGCTATTGCAAATATAACTCCTTTGCAGTTCTCCCTCATCATTTTGCCTCCTAGCCAAACAAAACCTTCGGAATTCATCATGATGTGGTGGTTATAGCTGTGTTTGTTAAGTATTGCTTCTACAATGACGTAGTTTTTAGACCTATTGTTCCTACACTTAAACCATCTGTTGTATGCTTCTTTGATATCTCATTACGGACAAGCTTCGTTAAGTACATCGAAAAGTGTATAATTGTAACGTCTTTGTTATTATTGCGTGGAAGTTAGTATTCGATCTAGGTCATATCCGTCTTTTGTACTTACTCCTGTAATGCAAGTAACATTTGATACTTGTTTCATACGCAATCTATTTTGATAACTAGCAGACTGTTTGCTAGTCAATGAAACGTAGCGAGGTACTTGAATCCAGCTCTGTTTATCGTGTAATATTTAGTGCGCTCCTAGCTCAACACTCATAGTTGATCCTCATTTCATGCGTACCCACTTTCTAAACGTGTGAGATGGTGACGATGTCATTTTTCTGTAGTCCTGGATGCAAGCGTTGGCCCATTGCGGTTCGGAGTTCCTCACTCTCTCTGTAGAAGAGCTGGAGGATGCATTTAGAGCGCTCAACTCCCTTGCAGATTGCCCAGGTGGCGGCAGTGGAGGGAGTCCCGCTCAACGCGCCCCCGTCAATACCGCTCATTCATCCGCTGCTGCTGCTGGTCACAGAAACCCTTTTAACGCTCCAATAACGTCTTCCCGGGATCACAGGCAGGGGTGTCAGAAGCAGCAGCAGCAGCATTCCATAGACCATCTGACTGGTCTGATGATGCTCTCCTGGGAGAAAATGCAGGCTAACGTTCGTGAATACCTTGATGGTGCAGCCGTACCTGCAGAGGCCACAGCGCAGCAGCATCTATGATTCCCGCTCCGCTATAGAGAAGTTTTACTTATCGATACTTCACCATCCTCTTTCGTTCTCTTTTTTCATTAAATTTATGGAGCTTGTGTGTGTGTGTAAAAGTGGGGCTGCTTGTTGCACATACTTATCTTTGACCGGGTGTGTGGGGAAGAAGCGAATAAGATAGGCATGCCCTCTGTGGCCTTATCCTACCTAATACCAGTTACTAGTATATTATAGGACTGAGAAGTACGCGTTGCTGAAAAGCCCTTGGTGACTAGGAGCGTGGCGAAGTTGCCACAGTCGGTGAGAAGAATTGGTTAGCTGGGGTGGTCGTGGCATCTGAAGATGGATAATAGGTCTGGATGTGAGTTGTGTGGATGGTGTTGGGTGAAGTACCGCCAACGATGAATGGTTGAGGTGGTGTGGAATTCACAAGGCCCCCTCTGATAGCAACAAAACTAATTTACTAGGAAGTTTTTTCGTGGTAATGTAACAAGATGGGCGTGGGTAATTGGTTAGGCTATTGTGACAGATCGCCATCAAAAGGAGTGGCAATCAGAATGAATACCCATTCCAAAGTTTACAATTGTGGGACTATGAAGACTTAACGCTCATTCATAAAGTGGATAATGTTCACATGAGTGGGTGAAGTATTGCTTGGGTAAAGGATTGCTGGGTGAGGTGCCTACGCGGAATTTTCCTATTTGGTGTCTGATCACCCATGATTCTTGTGTGACCTGGATGTAAAACCGTGAAGCTTTTAAACATCCAGCGGGATCATTCATTCCCTTTTGAGAGTTAAGAGATGAAGTCTTCCTCTGTATGGCAGTTTCAATTCATTCGATGATAGTCGGATTAGAGAACATTTTGATGCGTTTTAAAAGTCTCTTGAAGATAAACAAAATAGGATATTGGCTTAATGACCACATAATGTGCTAGCTGTAAGCACATTGTAGCATTAATATGAACGTTAAGAGTTAGTCATAACGACAAGCATAAAGAAGGTGAGGGTTATATCTGATCTATCTAAAAGCTGTGGACCACAAGTTACAAAGTACAGCCTTGTAGGACGATGTCAGTGCAAAGAGGGATTCGTAAAGTCGTTTTTACATCTCCAATGCGTTTCATAAATAGGCCTAAGATCCGCCTCCAATGAACTCGTAGAGCTGCCTCACTCACGATGTTATCAAGTGCTGTCGTACACAGATCTCCGAGTGTTTGTCAAAGCAATGATTACGAGGTGGTGATCGGCACAAGACTGGCGGTGGGGATTTTTCGGGCTAACGTTCAAATATGAAGGTGCCCATGTAATTAATTTCTTGTCCGTTAGCTGCGCCTGCATTTGAAGTCATGACGACAGTTCGTCCCAATAGCTTTCCTGTAATTCGTTAATTAAGATATAGTTGTTCTTTTAACTTTGTAATATATTTTGCTCAATTACACCACCTGAGCAACAAGCTGTCAGCATGCACCAAACTATTGACTGAGTGGACGTCACCAACCCGGCGATTCAAAAACTTTGCTAACTTGCATAACTTCTCTAATAAGATGTCCTCCTCCGTGACATCGTCGAGATCAAAGTTTCCAAAGCCAAAGGTGAAAGTAAAAAATAAAATTACTGGGGGATCTACTTTGACAACGACAAGTGCAATACCACTATTAGGTTTCCTTAGCTTGAAATATACATGCTGTAAAAACGAATGTGCCATAGTATCATATTAAATAGGTGAGAAGTCACTGATTTCCTAGTTCGTATCTGTCAAGCCGCTAAAATCTGCTTATTGATTTAAGCCTAATACTATGTGAATAAAAGTTTAAATTTTATCAGAATATGAAGCTCTATATATATTTACTCATCACTGAATACTCATTTATTTTTTGTCACTAGTTCGGATTAGCGGAATGGCATATACCTTGCTCACTTTTTACCCTAAACTTTGTTTTGCCGTTATTTTATTTTTTTTAACTGGTACCTACTTAAAATATAATATTGTGTTTAGTTTTATGCTTTGTAATAGTTCAGCTTTCAATTTTAGAAGTCTGACCAATAAAACTGCGGTTTAGGCATAGAAGATCGCAGGTGCTCTAATGGCACTTGAACTACCAGAAAGGCTCGATTATTTGCTCTCTTGGGTATATTAATAATTTTCACTACACTGTACTAGGTCAAAGAGTTTGAATTTGTTGACCAGGGCCTAATGTTTGAGGATCTGTGTGACGGTGTTATTATATCCAAGATTCTAGTCTCCGTGTAGGTTAGCTCTTGCATTCTCTTCATCAAACATTTCTAGGTCGCCTTGTTCGTTTTCAGCGTCCTGGTATTCAAGGATTAGATCAGGTGTTGGCACCAATTCTGCGCACAAAGTAAGTTGTTGCACCTGTGCATCTTTAGACATGTTTCTGTTTTGCTTTGCGTTTATCTTTTGGAGTTCTGATAACTCACTCTTGCGTGTTTTGTCTTAATAAAATTGTAAAACTTCTTTTTTAGTGTTTCAATTTGAACCATATTGTCGGAGCCATTTCCCAGTTTTTCGAAAACGTACGTTTGTTGTATTGAACCCTAAATTCTCTTTGTGCTCCTTCTTCATTCTTCCTTCTCTTTGCTTCCAGGTTATTGGGCAGCATTTGGCTATCTTTCAATTGCCCAACGTCAGTTTGATAGGTCAGTGTCTGTTTCAGTTTTCCAATCGCTGATTTCCATTCCTCCACTGAATTTTTCCCCTCCAGCTGAAAAGAATGATGCAGGGGAACTTCTCCGTCTTCTCCAGCTCGTCATTTGTTGCGCTGTTAATGGTGAGAACAAAGAAAAGTACATTCAAGCTATTCTCAGCATGGAACGCGCCGTTCAACAGGCAATCATGGAGTCTGTTCAGGAGGTCAGTTCGCTGTCTTCCTGGCTGTTTGAATGAGTTATTGAATGAGTGGATGAATTAGTAATCTCTGGCACCTCTGCATTGAGTCGTTCACGCACGCCACTCACACCTTTTACCTGATTGGTTGCTTTCTTATCGCTAGATGATCTTGTGCCACTTGCTCTCACCTTTATTACTGCTGTGGTTTCATCTGCAGGCGTGTCGTCTTGGCTAGTCAAGTCACTTTTTTGCTGGCGAATGCCCCAAGGGATGGTTTTATTCTGTGATTAATTTACACATTTTAGGTCATGAATGAAACTTCCTCGAAGGGGGATGAACTGTCACTCATGAGCAAGGTGAGAAACGGCTTTTCATATGACAATAACGGTAATATGTGGTTCATGGGGAAATCTAGTTGCCAAAGTGTCAAGATTCAGGTGTCGAAACACATTTAAACAAATTAAATGTCCAGTCGTATATTTTTGTATCATTCCCGCGTGATTGTAGAAAATAACTTTGTTACTGTTTGTCTTTTGAGTGGGGTGAGAGAACTAACGAGGCACGTGAAATAACTGTATTCGCCCAAAATCAGTGCAATCTGCATTATTAGCCTCCTTCAATGATGCATTGCAGACTGCAATCGGTTGTTCGGTTTGCTTGAAAAGATATCTTTGTGAGAGATTTGCTAACTTTCCCTTTTCGCATCCTAGACTGACCGAGACGACGCATTCGCTCACAAATGCCACGAACTCGAAGCAAAAGTATGTGTTTACTGCATTATTTGCTATGGTTTTTACTGCTAACAATTTGAATGCTAAATCAAGCCGTTATTCCTGCCAACTTAGGTACATTTTTACCCAATCAGATGGGGAAGCCAAAGCATTGTGTTGTAACCCTAATTGAACTTTGTCACTCGTAAAGACGCATTGGAGCATGTGTTCCTGCAGGCAGGCATGCAGTGATTGAGGAGGGCAAAATCGTGGTCCTCCTTCTTTTTTGAAGCGCCTCACTCGACTCTTCCACTCGTTAAGTCTTACAGCAGTAGTTTTGTTTACTGAGTGGACTTGTGCTTTGGTAAAGTGGTTGTGTTGCCCTCCAGAGGCTGTAAACCGTGAGAGTCCACAACGGTTGTGTCTTCGTGGACGGATGCCGGCTAGACTAACAATAGCCTTGGAGGCTATTCCGTGGGCGGTAGTAGTTAGCTGAATCGCAACTACTCACGAGAGAGAAAGGAATGCGATAGAATGAGAGTTTTTGGTTTAACTTGCCCTCTCAATGCTTATTGGTAGTGCAGTTGTGTGTATTTACTGCTACGTCAAGCTGCTATTCGGTTCTGGCAGCAGCATTAGCCGACTGCTTTGGAGGTGTAAGAGTGGAGTAAATGGACTGAACAGTGATGAAATGAAGTGTTGTTAAGTCTGCTCAAAATGTGTTCGTCATTAGTGTGGGCACTTTGCTCCATCCCAGATTTCGCAGCTGGAGGCGGAGAAGGCGACAGCGGAGGCGGAGTTGGAAGACGCGTTGCGAAAAATTGCACTTCTTGAGGAGCACAGCGGCGATACCAGTGGCATCGGTGATGGCAGTGAAACTGTCGGTTCTGTAGCCGCTACGCTGCAGCTGCGTCAGCTGCAGGAAAAACTGCACAATGCACAGGTGGAACTCTTTCAATCCGAGGCTGGTGAGTTCTAACACTGGAGATTGAACGTGTAATTTTCATGTACACCCCCTTCCTGACACTGCAACTATGAGAAACAGCTGATTTCTTTTGTAATATTTGACATTCTATGTCATTTCAGATTCCCAGGAGGCGAAATTGAGACTGTCAGAGGCCCTAAAGACTATCGAAGACCTGCGCAAAACGGTAGGTTCTTCTTTGAAAGGATCAAATGCTAAAAACTGGCATGCTGATTAATGCCACTATACTTTTTAGAGAATACTATCATCATGTAATCCATCATTTTCGTCCTTGAATTATTTTCTGGTGCTCTCTACTTTACCAATAAACCAAAGTAAAATTGATATAGAAAAGAATGGAGGTAGGAATTCTTTCGCCTCAAGTAATAGCGGTGGAAACCCATCTATCGCATTAGTATTCATCCGTGTCAAGTACTGTCACCCACTGAAAGGCACCAGGTTTTCCGGTTTCCCTCTGTGGTAACTTCTTTTTTCTTAGTAACCTCACTGAACTGGAAATGCGGCGTTATGATGGTACTGTGGTGGAAGCCAGAAGGAATAGTTATCTTCTGCACTTTTGTAATATTTGGAAGTGGCCAACCTTCTAAGCTAACTATTTTTTTTTCAACTATTTTGACCCCACTTTATTGCGGACCTGTGATATTGAATGATTTCCCACCAGTTGTCCAATCAATCCCATTTCCGAATTTCAAAGTTTCATTTCTTTGTACTGTGTATCTTATTGGTACGTGCTTACTCTCCACAAACTCCTTTACAGAACTTCTTATTTGTAAGTCAGTAGATGGGTTAAAATGCGGTGCAATAACGTCGTGTCTTTGGTGGCGATTTCGCCTTGTAGTTAACTCATTCACACGTTACTGATATTTCCGAATTCTTTCATGAAAGTTGTTGAATACGTAGCGTAGCACACTGAAGATGTCCACTTTTTTCCTGGGTGAATACCGTTTGGAATAGTTAGCTAACTATATTAGATGTTTCCTGGTCCAACAGATACTCCTGAGCATATAAGTGGAAGCGATTCCTGGTTAAACTACTCCAAATTTCCTAATTTTGAGCCGATTCTTGGAAACCTTTGAAGCTGAAGGGCTTGTCGGTACGTAAGAATCATCCCAGGACAGTCCTCCTCGGTACCCACGGTGAGGCAGCGTGTGGAAATTCTAGTTGTTCCTTATTTGTATTGTTGTGCTGGTCGTTCTCACAGAAAAATTGATCCCTTTCTCAACCTTAAGTTGGATCAGGTTTCAAGTGTCCTATGATCAGGAGTTCCACTCTGTGAATGCCGACTGGAATGGCTGCTGAGCTGTGAAAGAAACCACTACGGTTGTCATAGGAACCTACACTGCTCTAAAATTTGATGGTGCTAAGTGGCTAAGCGTCTCATCATTTCTAATGCGCTTGAAGTTTTCTGAATGCATCTGTGAGTTTGAGCCTTCGTACATAGGAAACGTACTTTATCATCTCATGCTTTTGCATGTTAATACGCATCTGGTTCGGACCGGCACACGGACTGAGAAGTAATGGGGCACGCTTGACAGCTACTATTGCCTATGGCTCCATATTATTTGGCAGAACGAGGGGCTGACTCTCGAGGTGTCGAGGACGGCGCACTTCAAGGACGAGTTGGACATTGCGCGAGAGGAAATGCAGGCGGCCAACCGCCAGGTCGCGTCATTAGAGCAGTGGAAGAAGCGACGCGCGGAAGAGATGGTAGCGTTGCGAGTGCGTTGCACCAAATTGGAGGAGGATAACGCGGCTTGTCTGAAGGTTCTAGATGAACTCAAGCAGGTTGGTTTTTCTCTGCCTCTCTCCCAATGCCTATCTCCGATACATATGCTGAAGGACACCTTGGGGAAACCAATTCGTCCTTTATTCACGATCGAGATTAAAGTGGGCCCGGTATTGTAGTATCAGTGTAAACCCTGGACGTTGTAGGGCACACGAGTTTGAAACTGGCTTCTTTGAAAGCCTACGATGGGCTGGAGGAGCGCCATCGAAGATATAATGACCAGAGTTCCAAGTCAATATCGTCGAGACTGAATTGTGGGGGATGGAAGTGGACACGTAACAAAACGAGTTAATCTGCGATAAACGCTAGTTAGAACCTGCACAAGCTATAAGCAGTATATGTTCTCATTAATTAGTTGTGTGTTTTGAATTTTCCAATTTCCTAATGTAAACTTGCCCGTTTCTGGTCTAGGAGAATCGACTGAATTCAAGTCTTCGCGCGAATGCCGAAGCCTCGAGGAACCAATCAATGGAAGCGAATTCGCGCGTCTCTGAACTGGAATTACGAACCATGCAATTAGAGGAGGAGTTGAAACAGGCACGGGCTGATCTTCAGGGGAGTCTTAGAGAGAACCAGGCGAGTCAGAGGGCGTTCCGGGTCCATTTTCCTTTTCGATCCGTGTGAATAATGCACTAGTCTCGAATTCTGTACCTAACTTGTTGGCGTATCCATGCAGCTCACAACTTTTGAGGACAGTTTAGCATCTTATAACTTGTCATTTTGTTCTATTGCCTGACCGTTAGTCTAAAAGTTTAATGTGTTAGGTGTCTCCCCCATTAGCCATCAGGGAAAAAGAAAGAATGGCTCCCCTTTTTCTCATTTCTGTGAAAATTGAGGCTACATCGACTAGAGCTGAGAGGGACGCATGCGATTTCAGTAGATATTTGAAAGGCTTGTATTTTCCATACTGTCTACTCTAAAACAGCCGACACATTCCCTCCACTCTTGACACCTAGTGGTTGTAATCCAGGAGGCAAATTAAAAGCAGATTGTCCCATTTCTTGATAAGACAATCACGGGTGGGAATACCTCCAAAACTGTTCACTGATGATGCAAGATTTAATAAAATCAACTTGTTTTAAATTGTCGAAAGTGGAACATTCACATTTGTAGATGTAGGTTGGTAAATTAATTTGGGGCTTTGTAAAATTCCACTTTCACTTACTCTGGTAAGACCGCTTCTTTAGCCGTTCTCACGAGATAGTAATGACCCGCTAACACTTAAGTCTGCTTGCCAGTGCTGGACTTGAATCATTGTTAACCCACAGTCAACGGTGTTTTATCCGTCCCGTACAACACAAGAACTTCTATGTCGAACTAAGATTTCGCTTTACATCCATAAAAATACGTGCAAATGCTGCTGTACCTTGTGTGCGGTGCCTTACAATGGTAATTGTGGACACCTATAGTAAAATCGGTGCAGGAATCCCTGCTACCCCAGAAAGAAAGCATTCTTGTTTGAACTTATGGAGGCTCCCACTTTCGTGGTTTTTTTGCGAGGCTCCTGGAGACCACCCCTTCCTCAGTCCTGCTTGGCTGCGATTGCATTGTCTGTACCTCGAATCTTCAATTAATTCTAAGTGACAAAAAGTGCATAAATGTGGCAAGTGCCTGTCGCAAAATAAAACTAGCCACTACAAGTCGCAGTTTGGTTGCCAGTAGTCTGTATATTCTCATAGCCTCCGTGATTTAAAGCTTGCCTCCAGATCGGAAGAGCGTGGGCGGTGATACATCGTCTAAATTTTTTTATCGTTGTCCAGACCCTTTTGGAGGAGATGCGGCGCCTGCGAGAGCATCACGAAAAGGCCTCCACATCGATTGATTTGGGTGGGTAGTTGCTAACCCCTTGTTCCCTCTAGCACTCTTTCCCTTTCTGTTCATCTTGTCGTCTGCCTTCAGAAGCGGGAGATCGCCTGAGTCAACTTCAGTCCTCCCTTAACCTGCCTTCCAAACCGGTTGAATCCAACGAAAGGTAGATTTTGCTCACATAACGGTGACATTGCTTGGTTCTGTTTATGAGTGCCGCCCTTTGTCCCCTACTTAGCGGTGACCAGGAGATCACAAGCGATGCCGTTTACGAAGTGGAGCAGCGCTATCGCGGGTATTTGGCCAAGGCTTTGGAGGTGAGAGAGGACCAATGTTTTACTACTAGTAGTGCACGTCTTGAGCCCTTTTAATACTTCTTTTGGGAGCTGAGCCATCCATCATTGGTATTATTACTGACATTGTCAGCAACATATTCCCCGCACTTTTTTTCCAAACTGGTTATCCCGTTTTCATCTAGCATGAGCCTCGTATCAAATGACATCAGCACTTAAATCCTCTATCGGTGGACAGTTTGGTGCATTTAAGTCGGTATCTCACATGGGCACCCATACATAGTCTATCTTAAAAGGTGCTTTAATGATAAAATTCTTACTGTTAGGATTTGAGAAGCAAAAAGGGTAAAAGTTCTCTATGGAAGGTTGGGATTGCTGTGAAGAGATTCGGATGAAGTTTTGATTTTCCTCGACCATAGCATTCTATAATTTTGTTGAGGAAATGTCAGACCCGTTTCCGTGAGCTTAGACCCAACTTAGGTAGTGGAATAGGAATGAAGGAAAAAGTTGAAGGTTGGATGCCGTTCCACAGAGAAGAAACGGAGGACACATTTCTTCTAAGGCGTATATGAAAGCAAAATTTGTGTAAAAACAGCCCTTTTCCTAACTTTAAATTGGACAACTCGAGGAGACGGTGTAGCCTACTTCAGCACCATGGAGCGAAAAGAACGTGATGATATTTGGACTAGTAATGGTAACTTTTTCTTCGCAGAAAAACCTTTTTGTTTCCACCTTTCTCATAAATTATATTAGCTTGAGCAGTTTCATTATGTTGGTGTCGCTAAAACAACGTAGAATCAGGTGTCGTCGAGATAAATTTACTGTCGTTAACGCGTTCGCAGAGGAGATTGATACTCGCTGCTGGGCAACTGACTTCAGTTGTCTTTGTTTCGCTCCCCGGTCTATCTTATGGCCTTTCTTCCAAATGTCTTAAATACGTGTGATGTTGGTGACGGACTTATTCGATCATTTTTCCTCTCCTTACTCCCTGTGCCCTTCCCTGTAGGTCATTCGACAGCTGAATCGTCGTGTAGTCGCTGCGGAGACGGCGGCAGTCAATCAAAACTGCGAGCAGAAACCCGATTCTGAGGTCTCTCGTTTGCAGGCGCTGTTGGCAGAGAAGGAGAGCATCATAGAACAGTTGGAGGTGATGACCCATTTTATGAAACAATACATTATGTATTTTCATTGAAGTAAGAGGGTAGCAGTTCCTAATTCCTACGGAGTTAACCCAATTCCATCGTGCTTCTACAGTCTCCACCACACCTCAGCATTATCTACTACCTATTTACAAGTCCCCTCCCACCAACCCGTAGCGCAAAATGTGTGGATTTGGTCGCTATCCACATTGAGACTTTACGCGTAGGGATCCTGTCGGACTTCAAACGTGAAGAAATCGGGTAATTCAAAAAGGGCCTTAGATTAGTGCAAGGAGGTAAAGGGAAGTGCGAATTCCGCAGAGGTGGTGGTGGAATTATCCCCGAGGGCATTGGGGATGTTTTAAAATGCTTTTGCGATACTAAATATCCCGTTATAACATGAAAGGTTGATTTTTGATGAGGTTCGTGTCATGACTAAGTAGTAAGCAATTAATTTTTTGTGGTTGTTTTCCACGCAACAAATACCAGCGTCACTACGAACAGGCGAGGCGACAGCGGGACCTTGAGGACCGCATGGTGCTAACGGCGTGGTATCATCTGGGCATGCGGGTGAACCGTGCGCACACAGAGCGTCTGTTGCACGAGGAGGCCTCAAGTGGAGGTGATGCATCCTCCACCAACACCACCTCCTTCCTCTCGCAGCAGCGTCGAGTTCATTTGCAGCCGTCCAGTCGTGGTCTTACGCATCCCACTGGATCATCCCTTTGATCTTGGATTTTTATGACCGCGTCCTTCCCTTCTTTCCTCTTTGTATATTTGTCTACCGGATATCACCCAGTCTAATTTTATTTGAACTTACATTCTATCTTTTCGCTCACCCACTTATTTGCTAACACCAATGTGATTTTTTGTTGATGCAAAGTAGAGTCTCGATTGCTGTTACTTCAGACCTCGAGGTGCCTGATTTGAGTGCAGCCTCATGTAGGCAGGACATCGAATCAGGAAATTCCATCAACTGATGAGCAACTTGTTCGAACTCAATCTGGCAGTGCTGCTTGTTTACGCGGTTGGAGCATGATTGCTGCTGAATGGTCCTGTCGGACACTTGATGTGTGCCACTACTTGCAAAGGTAAGCTTCGGCAATGAAAGGACTTACGCGTAGCAACTTCTGCGGGTTGTCGCCCACCATCACCGTGATGATCTGACAGTTCTGCTCTGCGGTTGATCACGTCGAGCCCTGGCCTACCACTTCCTTGTCACGCTGATAAACCCTTCTGGAGGGAAGGCACGGTGTTCCACACTTCTGGACGCGACACGAAAATCCGTCCCACATCACCCCCACTCCGGTTCCTATGACCTAGTGCCAAGTCTTAACGTCGTGGAGGTAGGGCCGAGTCTGAGAAGACCGTTAACAGAAGGGCTAGAATGCATCTACCGTCTCACCGATGTCTGGTTCTATAAAATTGTTGTCCGCAATCGGATATACGCTGCACCTGGACGATTTGACAGGTCTTATTGTGTAGCTGTCTAGGATGCTGCATTTTTCTGGAGCTTTCATTACTGGTAATCTGGATGCTAAATCAAGCCGTTATTCCTGTTAATTTCGGCACATTTCTGTCGGGTTAGTTGGAAAAGTCGAAGTAGGAGACGCAATCAGGGCTGAATTTTGTCACTTGGTTTGTGTTGCACCATAGTATCCGA